GTTCGCGCTAACGGACATATATGTGTCGATACCACTATTTTCCTTTGGGGCAGAGCCATTAGGAAATTTGTTCATACAGTAACAATACTTTTGACAAATCTAACACTCTTAAAGCTTCATTTTGATGTACCATATGCCTATATTTTTATTTAGAAAAACCAAATAACAAAACACTGTTAAACAAGGGGTATAAAGTACTGTTATAAAAATGAACACAAATTTGACTGTCTCTTTGATTATACAAACTTAAAGGTATAAAAGATGTTGCCTACAAGCTAAGTACTCGTAGTCCCTTAATGAGTGCAACAATTGACTAAAAGGTGAAAGTATTTTGTCATGAAAAATTTCTACTAAGGTTAAAACTCTTAATTTGCCAGCTCCATGTTACAAACCTTATAAGATAAACTTGGAATAAAATAACGTGTGGTGTACCAAGTTTGAAACACACAAGTGGAACAGAATTTTGTTCTGAAAACAGCTAAATAACTGTCACAAAATGTTGATTATGTTTGACCAATAAAGAGCCTAAAAAATTACAAAAAGTAAATCAATGCATCACATTTCTTTAGATTACTAGTTTACTCCAACATGGACACACCATATTGACCTTGACCACCAGCATCAACCAGATGCTACAAAGGTTTAAGACCTAGGGTTTAAGACTCAAGTTATCATCTCAAATTTTACCTTGGGGTGCCATAAGTGGACATAGTCTGCAACAGAGCTCTTCGTTATCTTGAACTCCATCATCGGTTGTCGACCTTACTCAACACCCTTAATTATCTACTATACCTTTGCGAGGCCTTATCTGAAATTTGCTACATCATCTGTTTTTTCATAGGAATAAATAAAATGGTTGTACAGAGTGTTTTTAAAACGCAACCTAAATTAATAACCGTAAGACACGTTTTAATGACACAACAAGCTTATATGTTGGTATCCCTGTTTTCTTAACTTCATTGCCGATCAGCTGATATGCATTGTTGCATAGTTACCTATGAGGTTAGTGTTATTGAGAGTTTATTGCAAATAAGACTTGTGTTTTGTGTTTTCACAAGCTCAAATAGTATAATATAATATTGTAGTTTCACGTTTTTTGGTTTTCTACGAATCCGGTTTCCAATTTTTTTACAGGTCAATAAAAAGTTGATTACAAAAGTTGGTATATTAGGTACTGGAATCATACCAGGAAACTTAATTTCAAACCTTACTTAGCATAAAATGTATGATTTACTTTAAACTATTCTTCAACATAATCAATGTAGAAGATTACATTAAAAGTACATCTTTGGTTTTTTACCAAGAAGGTTTGAAACAAAGTATTCAGATGTGATTCTAGTACTTTATAAATCAACTATTTATAGACTCTCAAAATTTTTTTGAAACCGGAAAACAAAAAAGATTGGCCTGAATCCCATACCAGCTCCTGCACCTGTTCGAGCTTGTGAAAACACAATGTTGAGTCTTTATAATAAATTCCCAATTACACTAAACCTCATAAATAAGTATGCAACAGTGCGTATAATTTGATGGGTAACAAAGTAAAGAAGACAGGGATACCAATATATGAGCTTGTTTTGTCATTAACAGTGTATCACAGTAGAGTTCTTGTGATTTGGGTTGTGTTTAAAAAATAACCTGTACATAGGAAATTTATCAGATTTTTGCGCCCAGTCTTGGGTTTGATACTGAGGGGTCTTCTCTAAATCTGCATCTCTTTAAGTCATATACAAACTTTCTTCTGACACCTAATCCCCGGTATTGCTGTTAGGATAAGAATGAGAGTATAGTTAAATTATCACATAAAATTTAATGCAATGAATCCCATACTGAGGATTAAAAAATTACTATCAACTTCGTTCTACTAAACCTCCACGCTCGCTGACATGAGAAGTGGTTTGCGTTGGAGATTTTGGTACTGTCTTTAAAAGATCACACTACCTAGTATCCTTGACTATTGGTAAAACATACCATGGATAAAACATACTCCCTGCTTAGTAGATTTGTAATCCTTATGGAACAGCTGAACTGAAGCCAATTTTATTGTTACTTCTGTACGGCAACTGTAGGGCTCATCTTTTGTTTACAATTTGTTTCTTGTTATTTCAGTCATTTAAAACTTCATTTAACCAAATAAAATGATATAATCATAAACAATAACTGGTCTCCTAGTTATATAACCAAATAGTAAAGCACAAATCATGAAATTAACCCTAAAATAATAGAAACAAAATTTCGTCTAGCCCAGTGATCAGTGTGGACTTACAAGACCTAGACACAAAAAACAAGCTTCAAAATTTACAACAGGATGAGGAGTCTACTTGTGTTGCTTAGGCTAAGCGCACACGAGCGATTATTTCATCGGCCGATCTGTGCACCATGTGTAGAATGGAAGCGTGGACACAGGTGATCGAGAATTGCGCCGATTTTAAAATTTGGGTTTTGCTGCAGATTCGTAGGCGAGGCGATTTTCGCCCGGAAATCTGTAACATATAGGTTGTTATCAGTCCGCGCACAATGTCGACTGAAAAATTGGCCAGTCGCTTGTTGTTCTCCACAGAAGTCAGTGAACTTCAGTGTGAGTTGTGTTGTTTTCTTTGCTAAAAAATACCACAGCTGTTATAATAAATAATGAAACTTTCAACAGACATTCTATAGTAATTAAAGAATTTTTTACTGTCATCTTGTAAAGTTTATGGTTTATAAAACAGTTGATTTGGTTTATAAAACTGTCGAACGGACCTAATATTTAAGTTATCTTCTTTTTTCTTTGATCTAATTATAAGAGCACAAACACAGGTTAATCCATCAAAATCCATTTTAGGATAGCTTAAACGCACTCGAAAAAATCCATTTCTCGACTAAAAAATCGCCACGAGTGCGCCTAAACATAAATCAAGGGCAATTTATTTTCGGCCGACTTTTTAATCGGCCGATCAAAAAATCTACCATGTGCGCCAGACCTTAGTCTATGGTAGAACTAAACTTTCCATCTCCATGTTAAAGTTGTTACCAGTTTTTAAAATAAAAATGTGGGTGGTTGAAGGGAGCCACTAACAGATTGTGCTGATGTAAGTTACTTTATTTATTTGAAGTTCATTGTTGGTGATGATGGTGAGTTAATGTTAATGTTGCATCTTTAAAAGACAAAAATACTTTTTCATCACTCAGTAAGTTATCAAAAGCAACAATTTTCAATAACAGCTGATATCAAAGAAAGTAGTTGTTTCCCAAACTCTAATTTAGAGCGTGGGAAAGACAATCAGCAGATTTTCCCTGGCTCTAAATTAACTTTCCTTCGCATCTCGATTAGTTCACCATTTATTCACTACGTGCGCTAGTGTTTTGTTACGGTTTATTTCAATGATTTAAATCAGCTGTTTTCATTGTTGCACAATTTAAATGTATACTGAAATAGGCATTTTAGTTTGTTTGCTGTGTTTTAGCATAGTATGTGTTTGAAATTGCTCAAAGTACCCTCTAACATTAATGATGATTTGATGAAAACAGCTTCAGAACTAATCCCCTTCCACCAGAAAAATCGCAGGAAAGATATGAAGAGGAATACAGAAAGTTTAGAAACTGGTACAAATTACAAAATGTTAAGTGAATTAAACTAATTAAAGTAAGTGACTAAATATTTAGTAATAAATTAATCTAAACAATCTATAATCATGAAACCATATATATACATTGTGAAGTATATTTTCAATGATAAAGAGTGGTCTAAGACTATTTTTTTAATGCTACTGAGATCTGTTATTCTGTATGTGTGTATTTTTGGTGAGCAAGTAACTTAACCTTAAAAAAGCAAACACAACCTAAATAACATTTTATAATTTATATACATTTAAAAAGTTAATCTGTCTGTTATTATAAGTTAAATTTTGGTGGTAGGAAAAATCTTGTGTGTATTACGAGCAAAAACAGTCATTGCCGCTCTCGAAATATATGGCCACACTCAGCTTAGGTTTTGTTCAGCCATCTACAGTTCTCAAGCGGCAATGACTTACTTTGCGCTCTAAATACACAAATAGCTTTTAGACGAGGTAAAATACTAGGGTTATTCCAAAAGCAAGGTCCGGTTAAGAAAAACTAATTAAAAATAAAAGTTTTATTTACATTCCTTGTATATTTGTCGGTTTTTCTGCATAGTTTCCATGTTTATTCAAACATTTGTCATATCGATCAACAAGCTTTTGAATGCCTAAGTTGTAGAAATCGACCGCCTGGGAAGATGACCAGTTAAAAACTGCTTTTTTCACTTCATCATCTGTGTCCAAGCGCTTGCCGCCAGGAAACTTTTTTAGGAAGCGAAACTAGTGGAAATCGAAAAGTGGAAAACAAGTGGAGATCTGAAATAGTGAATCGTCAATCTTCACGAATCTTTTGGTCAACCGCACTGACCAAATCTTCTGAAATCACTGATGGTCGGCCAGACCAAGATTCATCATGCACATTTTCTTGTACTTCTATAAAAGCTCACACCCACTTGCCTACTTTACTGTCACTCATTATGTTAGGACCGTAACTTCAGTAATCAGCCTGAAACGTTTCTTGCAGACAAAAACCGTATCACTGCCCTTACTTCACAATCGGCGGGCCGATCAATTGTCTTAAACATTGTGAACTGACACTATAAACAGAAGACAGCAACAATAACAACACTAATGGCGGAGTTTGACGTGCAAGGCTTGCTGGGAGTCAGCGTGCATGTGTTTTTTGTCCTTGGCGACCACTTCAAATAGTTACAGCGAATCAGACCTTACTTTTGGAATAATCCTCGAACAATGTTTACTGCTTAAACATACATAAAAGATAAAAAAAAATTATGTTTAATGTAAAAGTGAAATACAATTGTGACAAGGACTTGTACGATAATAGCTGCAGACCAACATAGACGTTCAGATATACCCAGGTCAGATACAAGGAGTTTTACTGTGCTCTTTTGCTCTTCGAAAAACTATTAGTTCCTAATGAAAATGATACAACACTTAAACTGCATTTAAGGTATTTATTTACAAATATATGTTAAGGTTTACAACATATAAAAACACAGCACTATTAGATTTTAACAGATAACTTGTAACAATAACAATTTTTGTAAATAATAAATCTACTAATTTCAAACTTTGTTCCTAAAAAACTATTTAGTCACAGTCACACATTTCCTACAAGAATGTTGAACTTTTTAAATAATATTACTGTAAACTATAAGTTCATTATTGAACATTATAACAATCATTTCGGTAGATACCCTCTTGTTTGAACGATTTAGGACCGGAACTACAAAGAATTTAGGTACAGAGAAAACAAGCTTAATGGACATCCGTGCGCTTTCAGCACTGGTATGTTGGGGCGGAAATATACTTGTGACGAGCACTGTGCAGAAATTCCTATTGCACAAGACGTAGAGTCTACCTCCGTGAGCCTTGTAGTACATGAAGGTGAGGGGGGTAGTGCGGGACCTGGCCCTAGACACCAGCACTAGTGCTAGACGCCACTTAAGTGTACCATGGAATGTATCCTCTGGTACTTACTTCTCTGAGTCGGAACTTAAGCCAAAACTGAATTTTGTTACTTGCTGAGTTATGTTTTTTTTATTAAGAGGGAGGGGTTCAATTTCCGTCTTATCCCCAAAGGTTTTAGGAGTTTTGACCACCTTCTGTTAAAAACGTTCAGTGTGAAACATCATAAAAACTAGGACACATATACTAGGAGCGAACAGTACCAGAAGATTGTTTTTTGCGAATCTATGTACAAAGTGAGTGTGTGAACCACTTGCAAGCGTAAACCAAACCATCTGAAGTCCAAATCAAACAGGTCCAAACAAGAAAGATTCTAATGATGAAAGTTGACAATCATTGTATAACTAATCTCTTGCCATGTACAACTAAAGCGACTGACTGACAACTTAAAAGTATTTGGCAAAGCACCAAACAGTAAATCAGAAAATATCAGTTTGTAATCTACTTTAATTAATTAAAATAATGTTTACAACACTCTGTTGTCTTGGCTTGAATGTTGTTGAACATCACAATATTTGGAATCATATGTATTGTTGGCGGAAAGGGTATCTCTTTAGTCTGTAATATATATCTCTACATATTAAAATGCTATCAAATAGACTAAAATGAATCTTTTGTTTTGTCATGGTAGCAGAAGATTACTCAATGAATACAAACCCTTTAAGAAGCGAAATGCTTATGGAGAATAGTCAGACTGGAATTTTACTGCCGAAATGAGCTTCGCGCGGCTGCCGCTACAATCGCCCAAGCGGTGGCCATGCTACTCTATCTCTCTCTCTCTTTCTCTCAGCTGATTCTTTGTTTCACTCTCTCTCACTCAGTCAGCTTACTCGGCCGCACGCTCACGATAGTCTACCTAGCGGCCGGGGGCCAAAATTCAAATATTCTCAGACTGAATTTTTTACAAAGGCATTGCGCTTCTTATAAGTCTTGTATTCATTGGATTACTGGAGCAAGCTGCACAAGAATAGTCCAATCAAAATTGTAGCAGCTGTTTAAAACATCTATTATATTCAACCAGGCAAAATTTCTCAAATTGTATCTGACCATTCTCCTGCATAATACACTAACAAAGCATTTATGATGCTATAGCGCCTAGTTTTCTTAGTCAGGAAGCGATGAGAACCTCTTTAACAAAGGAGTGGGAGGGGGGGTGTGTGACATCACTCTTCTCTTGAGGGAACACCATTCATTACCACAAAGAGACGATGTGATTCCATTGGCATTCGTATATAGTTGATAGCGTCTCGGACTGGTATGTTAGAGGTCTCCAGATCGAATGCCGCAGGGGACTCAAACTTTTTGTCAAAGATTCTACATAGAATGTGAATACTTTAACTGTACATCTTTTGTTAGAATTTGAGGCATTCATAATTTTATTTATGAACAGAACAAAATTATTTTTTTTTTATTAGTAAATCTTCATTTGATTTTTATCTTATATCTTTTTTATATTATCAGCAAGTTTTGTTGGTTAGGTTAGGTTATTACAGTTTAATTTTATAATTAAAAAGTTTATGTTATAACTAAAAATTATAAAATAAATTTAAAATTTTTCTCAATTTGACATGAGGAGGGACGTTGTTGGAGAGCCAACAACCCCCTCTCCTACGCAGAAAAGGTTCTTATCGGTTCCAGACCAGGAAAGACGCTAGTTTTATGATGCCACTGAAGATAAAAAATTGTTTAGAAAAGTGAGATTCAATTCAGTGTAACAGTTTCAATGTAGTGAGAAAAATAAAATATCTGTGCACAGACTGAGTGCAGAATGCAAACAGTTTGTTTTAGTTGTTTGTGCGATGTTAACAGTGTTGTTTGACGCTGAAGACAATTTGTTTTGGCAGATAAAAATGTCTATAAAATTATTGAAAAATTATGCAATCTCATACAACAGTTTATTTGATTCATTTTTCAAACCAAGCATCTGACCCTAGGTTATAAAATGTTTCTCATTGGAGTGCATAACCTGTTCATAGTTAGCCTACACAGATTGAAATAAAACACTGCACAACAAATATAGGATGTTTGTTTTATCTCTGTATGGGCTTGTCTTTGCTACTACAGCAAACCTTCGTTAATTTAATCTTGGGTAAATTGAGAATCAAACGTCTAGAGGAAATGTAGTATATTTTAGGACAGTTTTGATACTATTGTGTAGTGAATACTTTTAACAGAAAACCACTTAAAACCAAAAAACTGCTGCAGCACTGTAAAATCGGCAGCAAAACTATTAAATTTACAGGGGTGAATGCCAAATGATAAAACTTCTGGACACCGATTAAAGAGGGTTTACTGTGTAAGTAACAGTATGAAAAATTGAGATATTTAAATGCACAAGATAATACTGGGAAACCAGATGCATAAGTCTGCATGAATGTAACTTTATACACTAAACCAGCTAGATACAGATATAGGCAAAAAGGTAAAAAAATCTATTAACACTAAATCATTCAAAGGCACTTAGCGGCAATACAATCTAGATTGGCAGTTTAAACCGTTATAGCTTAATTTATATCTTGTTTAATCTTACAGTAACAATACATAGCTCTGAGAGCCAATAGCCAATTGAAAAAAAACAATAAATCACAACTAGTTTACAAGAAGTTACTTGTCAACAATTATATTTTGGTAACTATTTACGACGTTTAACCTTTCCGTTCCTACATACATTGATTAAACCCTTCCCGTTATCACAATAAAATAGTGATTAGAAACATTACAAACCGGACCCTTTTCCACTCTGACCCAGAAAGTATTCGTTGTACGACTTGTTCAGCTGTTCAAGGAAGATGAAGGTGAGGACAGTGTGGGGTCCGAGTCTCGCGTAGTACGGAGTGAAGCCTTTCCACAACGCAAAGAACCCTTCGTTCTTGATCACTTTTGTCAAGACATCAACTGCACCGGTGTATTCTGGCTTGCCGTTGACAATTTTCATGTTTTGTATTCTGAAAATATAACAAATCATATTAGTGATATCATAAATTACGTAATAATATCTCATAGGAAATTACGGGGATGCGGAATACTACCCCCCGGAAAACCACCCCCCTCCCAGGTGAAACGTGACATCACGAAATCTGCCAAATAACCAATATGGTAGCCGTGCCCGCAACTGGAATACTACCCCCCCTAAGAAAATGTGATGCTATGTAATTATAATTTTAATTCAATTAATTTAGTTTGATTACAGAAAGGGCATGTGGTATCATACAGAATTTTTATATATTACAGCAAGTTTGGTTGGTTAAGTTAGGTTAGTTTAGAACATGTCAACGAAACTTGAGTGTCCGTGACTGGAAAACTGCCTCCTCAATCTCTGACGTCAACATGACAAATTTAGTCTCTAGAAGGCACTATAATGTTGTTCCTGCAAATATTTGAAAACTAAAATAACATATTTTAATACAGCTCAATATTACATTTTCCATTTATTATACCAGACAAGATAATTTTATCAGTATGAAAATTCATTTATTCTTTCATAGACATACGCTTTTGCAACATCTGAAATGTGTTTAAACGGATACTCGGTGTACATTTTTTATGTGTCAAAAGGTGGAGTTTTATGTACGTTGGTTGTGACTGGATGTTATTCAAAACCTTCATGTTACAATCTAATGGACTCCTTTAAAATGAAATTAAATTAAATAAAATCTTTGAAAATGTTTAAAAGGCTGATTAAAATATGAACAGTTTAAAAAATTCTTGTAGGGTGCTTAAAACAAAAAACAAAAAGTGGTTCAAATCATTATAAAATAAAACAAATTATAAATACTTTTTTCTCAGCTTGTGTGCATTGCAGGGAAAATCCACGCATACTGTTAGAAAGATATTTTTCTGTAGATGTGCAGAATCCCCTTATAAATTAAAATAGGCTCAAAAATAAGCACAAGAAATTAGTTAGAAAACTTCAAAAAATTAACACGGGCCTTATGGTTTGCCATAATGGTGACGAAATAATAACGGAACATAAACAGAAAATCAAAACAAATTCCAATCACATGTTCTATTTACAGCGTGGGGTGAAAATAGTGAAGTCTGTAAATTCAATATTTTTAGTCTAGTATTCAACCACTGGACAACCTCTAGTTCATTTTAAAGGATAACAATATCAACATATGTCAAATTCTCAGTAGAGTGAAACAAAATACTGTACTCAAAATACTCATAAAAAAAAACCTTGGTTTAACCATCGCGGCATTTAACAAAAACCTCCTAAAAGTGTATTAATAAAATGTATCTGATTGCAATAATGTGCTAGTTGATGAAATGGACCATAGATTAAGTTGCCACAAAGGTTTCAAATGACATCTAGCCGGCACAAATGTACATAAAAGTCTACCCTTTGGCACAAAATATTTACACTGACTATCAGCTTAAACACATTTTAGCTACAGCGGCTGTTTTAGTGGCTGTTTGGTTCCAAAATTAAAATCACTGCAAGTTAATAAAACCATAAATAAATACAATGAATTTTGCAAACCACTAAAATAACTCCTTGTTTATCATAGGTGTGGGTGATTGATATTATACGGATAAAATAAAACACATACTAAAGAAATAAACACTCAACAATTCAATCTGTACTTGAAGTTGAGAACTGTACTTTATCACATTGGTACTTGAATGTAGAACAATTGGTGAAAAAATCAATGAAATTGTCTTAAATAATGACAAAACATGTATTGTCAATAAGATGGATGATTTAATTCCAACAATATAATTTTTTACTTCTGTTTTTCTACTTACATTCCTTTATGAAACACAAGTCTGGATATTTTAAAGTGAGATGGGGTGAGATGAATGTTTCATGATTGTAAAAATTTACAATTTGATTTTACTTTTGAATTCATACTAAACAATTTAATAACAGTTCATTTCAGTTTTGTAGATATACAAACTTAGACCAGCTGATGTAAAAAAGCTACGGTACTTACAGAGCCTCACCCTATGCCAACAGTGAAAGTAAATTAAATATGTCTATTGTCTTTAGAACCTTTAAAAATTATTGACAAAGTCATAAAACAGCTAAAATTATAGCATAGTAAGTTAATGAATACATATAGCTAACTACACAAAATGAGTCATGTTACTATTCATATTTTAAATATTACAACTGAATAACAATCTTATTGTTAAAAATTGTTGTGTAGTGTTAACTACATGAGTGAACACTAGTGTTCTTCACGTAAATATGTGACATTTTTATGTGTTCAGTTGTTCAGTGGTATAGAGAAGCGGGAACGCATGCAAAGACAGCGTTCTCACTTTGGTTTTCTGAAGTCCTATATTTTATAAGCAGCTTATGTTTTGTACGAGACAATGGTGAGTATTCCAGCACTGAAAATGTTCCACTGCACCACTGCGTTCTACCCTCATCCTCCAACAATCACCTAAAAGTATGCCACTACATCCTATACTACAACCTATTACAGGAAAAATAATAATTACCTGGTTTTGGCGATGTCAACTGGCATAGACGCAGCCGTAGTGACAAGACCAGAGATCATGCTGCTACAGAAGTGAAGAAATATGTTCTCATTGAAGTACCCAGTAGAGAGCAGCGCCTGTTTGGCTTGAGAGTAAGACGCCAGCTGGGCCGCGTTGACTACCATCGCCCGACCCATCGTGGGGATGGCTCCTCTCCACAATACCTTGATGGTAGAACAAAGAGGATAAGAAGAAGTACATGTGTCATAGAACACACAGAAGAGACATAAAACAGACAATATTTTGTTCTAGAAATTTGAACGAATTGTGTTTTTGGCCTCTGGGGACATCAACATGAAAAAGTAATTCAGTCGTGGGTCTAGGTCTTTCTATGCCGCCTACAGTAGGCCCTAATAGCTTCTTCCCTAATTCGCTATAAATGAAATCGGTAACACCAGTATTTCTTTTTAGGCTTTCATATTAGGCCTACTATCTTATTTTGTAATCCAACATATACAATTACTTAACTGTAAATAAGCAGCACAAACCTCGCTGTCATAATTCAGATAAAAACTTACAAAGCCACCAAACTTCATTATAAACGCAAAAATTGTTTAAGGAAATAAATCAGTACCGGCAGCTTATTCAGCTACCAAAATATTTGTAAAAACTTACCAAGACTCCTTCTTCTCTCGCGATTCGCATCAATGCATTAAATACATTGCTGTAGTTACGACGCTGGTCAAGTGGTAAACGCCCGTCTGATGTCATACGCACCAACGCTACCTCTGCAGGAGTTCCAATGAAGGCTCCGCAAGCCCCGGCAACCATACCCAGACCCGCCTTCATGAAGAAGTTTGGTGGTGTACCATCAGAACTAAACAAAAAAGCACCTTAGGCCTAATTTATATCTTGTCTTGTTCTTTTTAAAATGTCTAAAGAGATCAAAGGAGAGTCCAAAGGTCCCTGATAGAGCATGCACATGAAATCTTAGGTTTTGTGTCATAAGATTTGCAATAGGTACTTTCCCAATACAATTAAAATTGTTTGATCATCTTGTATTTTCATGTTTGATGCAATATGCAAAAGTTCCATTCAAAATCGGGGTCTCACTAATTTGAATCCCTTTTATCAGAACGTCGGACTAATCCAAACCACCTGTTGGGGAACAAATTGTAAACAAATTGTATTTGTTAGAAACAAACCATATATTTTGAAAACTGCTCTAACTATAACATAGAAACCGAGAAAAGCCAGCAATTGTACATAATTTTTTATGGTAAAGTCCATGAATTGTAGCCTATGTGAATTATGTAGAGAGAACCTGGCAGTTTTGAATAATTGCCTACAGCCTATGACCAAACGTCCATGCATAAACGGCATTCTTCGGTTCTCTTCTAAGGTCATTGCGTAGTAAGAAGAACACAAGGGCGGGAGACAATTATTCATCGGATACTAAAAGATGGTTATTTAGCAGTAAACAAAATATATTTTTTCAAATCTTTATTTATGTTAAAATTTTGCTGCATATTTCTATCTAATCTGAACAATAAGGTATTCTGAACAGGGTTCAGGCTCAAACTTCCTGTTAGATCATAAAGTCTTTAAGAAATAACTGCAAACATATAATTTAATTATAACTGTTTTTATTTTCATCCAAAAAGATCACATCACAAAGACACAACCTCATCTGGAGGCTAAATCAAACTTTTGTAAATTTTTAAAACAAACCAAAAATTTGTTAATGCAGATTTCACTTAAATTAAAATGGTATAATATTACCTGTTTCCGTCTGTGATCCTATATTTGTTGTATAGAGCAACCGGTTTCAAGGTTATAACCTCATCTTCAGGCTCTTGTTGTCACTCTTGCGAGATCGTCGAGTTTTATAAACACACAAAAACACTAACATTGAAATAAATAAACCTCGAGACATTGACAGACGAAGACGATTAACATAAATTCGGGAACTAGTTCCACACACGACGCGGCACGGGCAAACGTTTTGTCATGACTGTCGACGCGGCACTAGTTCCCGAATTTATGTTAATCGTCTTCGTCTGTCAATGTCTCGTGTTTATTTATTTCAATGTTAGTGTTTTTGTGTGTTTATAAAACTCGCCGATCTCGCAAGAGTGACAACAAGAGCCTGAAGATGAGGTTATAACCTTGAAACCGGTTGCTCTATACAACAAATATAGGATCACAGACGGAAACAGGTAATATTATACCATTTTAATATTCAAGAAGTGATCCTGGACCAAATAACATCAATATGAGATTTCACTTACCCTGTCATTTTAGAGAACAACCAAGTATAAACACCCAGTCTTGTGGTTGTGTATGTTGCCTGTCTTAGCAATCCGGCTGAGAGACCCGAATATACTCCCACAAACCCTTCCTTTTGAAGGATTGCACGGAAAGCATGAAAGCTAGTCTTGTATTCTTTTTTGCCATCAGTTCCACTCAACTGCATTCGATTTTTTACTAGGTCAAGAGGTTGAACAAACAATGTTGCAGTCATTCTGAAATATTAATCCAAATAATAACTACTTGTCAATGGGACAATATTGAGAGCTGTAGCCATAGCCTATCAGCGTCAATGGGACAATATTGAGAGCTGTAGCCATAGCCTATCAGCTTTAAATGTATCAACAGTTATTTTTTTCATTTTGCAAGTCATACTGCTATTTTAAACATTAATTCTACAATTTATTAGAAGAAGCTATAAATTTGAAATTTTGGAATCAAGTAAGAAATTATAAACTGCTTTAAATAAGTTAAGAATAAAATAAATTGTTACCGATTCGGAGGAAAGAAGTCCTCTAGGAATAGGATGGAGTGTAATGAAATTTAAAATTCACATTTTTAAATGAATGTAATAGATTTTCATACATAAAGTGTTTTAAACGCGGGATTCCTAGACTCATCCCATAAATTTAGTTTATGCACAGGATGGAAACGGGATATGGAATAAAACGGAACTTTTGGGTCTGATACCTGTTTTTGTTTATTATAGGCCTAATGCTTTTAAAAAAATAGCTCCAAATGATTAAACTATTCTAGCACAATATTTTAGCAAGGTTTAAAGAGCAATTTAAAAATTATAGGTTACCTATATCAAAAAGTACATTCAGAATAGAATTGGGGCAAATAAGCACGATATAATGGGATTTTACATTATATTGTTGTACAGTATATAAATAAATAAATAAAGATAAAATAGGATTTTCTCGACCCGGTGAGAGGAATTGTTGGTTTTGGTCGTGCATCTAGTAACATCATGCAGAAACTTAACTTATTTTAAAAATTGGAAGAGCAGTTTAAGAATTGTTGAATGAAATATTATAAAACAAATCAACTATCAATCATTGAGATGGGGACGCTAACTTTGAATTATAATAGTGAATTATACAAATTAATCATAACATCACTGTAAAATTAGCCTAATTATCATTTTAATACAGGGAAATATCTGTCAAATGTTACACAAATAAATAAAATAAATTTATAAGGCAGAGTAGCACAAACTAATTTTGTGTTAGTTGGCTTTGCATTATCCAAGGAATAAAAATAGAATAAAAGGATTGATAAGACAACTTGTTTGGGGTTAATTAAAAATTCGTTTTGTCATTCTTACCCTGATACTCCACCAAAAACGAATTTCACGTAATTAGGCATGGTCTGCTGAGGCTGCGACATCTTGGTGTATATGAATTTTATCAACACTGCCTCGGAGTAAACTTTCTAATCTTAAAATAAAATGGAATGTGAACTTGAAATAAATTTGCAATGTTACGCAGAATTAACTCTAACCTCACTTCGCTTGTCAGTTTGACATTGACAGTTCAGCAGACAGCCAAGAAATGGAATGGACCTTTCTTTTTCCCCTTTTTCCCTCTCTCAGAACCTAACATTTCGCAAACTTAAGAAGTTCCATGTAACTATAGAATGTACACCGTGTTTATAGTAGTCAAATTATGATCGATCAATGAATCGTAAACATTCAATTTTGATGTCTACTACTAAATCTGTTGGTGGCTGAAGAATTATTTAGCCATACACTACAAAATAATTAATGAATCTTCATTCATCTATATATATAAAATCCAATGTATGTTTGTTTGTATGTATGTATGTTTTATTGTTTGTCCTTTATGGACTCCGAAACCGCTCGACAGATTGTAATGAAACTTTCAGGTATTATTAAGCATTATTCAAGGATGGTTTGTGTGAAGTTTGGTGCAGATCCATCAAAAGGGCTCCGCCCCAGTGGCTCTGGAATTTTCCATGTTAACCTTATGAGTACTCATATTTAAATGTAATTAAAGAATCTTAACAGCTGATTCAACTAATCAATTTTATTCTGTGATGCTCAATAGTATTGAAAAAGTTAATAGGTTTACCAACAGGATGCAGCATTATTACTTTTTTTCAATTTATGACAACAGCTAATTTGCAACCAAAAGGTGAGTGAGCGTAGCGAACGAACATCAACCTGGAGGCAAGTTAGCGTAACGAACGAGCTAAGCTGTAGGCAAGTGAGCGCAGCGAACGAGCTCCAACCTAAAAGTGAGTGAGCGTAGCGAATGAACTTCGACCAGGACGTGATTGAGCCATGCGAACGAGCTCATCTTAAAAATGAACGAGCTTTTTACATATAACCACATTAGGACAGGACGACGTCTGTCGGGCCAGCTAGTATTTTAATGTTGTTTATAGACAAGTACATCAACGCTCAAACATACTGCAGAAAGTCTGAGTCGCAAGCCACGGGCATTGGCTACAACGTTGACTTTGGATACTGCAGATAGATTTCTTGTCTTTTTGTAAAATCTGGAGCCTGCTTTAACCAATAACAATAACGTGTTAAATAGCGTGTGTAGTCTTCAGAGGAATATGAAACTGCTGAAAGCTGGTGAAGTGAAGACCTCGATTATTATCCCGAAGGTTGACGGAAATGCGCCACCATATATAACCACCCGGGCTTAAAACTATGAAATTAAAGTAATTAAAACCATTTTTTTCGAAGTGGCTTATTTTTATGAAACTAAATTATTATTAGCTATAATTTCAGTAACGTGATTTGTTAGATATTAAGGTATATAGATCTATAGAATGTTATTTATTTCTGTAGTTAATTATCCCAAACATTTTCACAATACTATTAGGTGTTTATAATGGTGGAAGGAAAATACATGTATTATATATTGATAATGAAAATATATATGTATTTTCCTTCCACAATGAGTTGTTATTATAATTTACAATGTATTTCCACCATGATTTACAATATTTATCGATAACTCTTCTTAACTGATTATTCATTCATACCTTACAGTATGAATACAACTACAACTAACTCAATGCTTTGCAAGCTTAATATTCATCCTCTATGTAAAAAGCAGACGGATTCACGGATTATTTTGTTTTTGTTTTGTTTACAACGAAACGACAAGTCGAACGCTGCCGAGTGCCGAAATGGCAAAATGTCTTCGAATATGTGATAAATGTAAAAAAATAGAGGTATTTTAAGGTTTACATGGTTTAAAAGTGTTCTAGCAATGAAACCATAAGTACAGTAACTCTCTCTATTAGCGATTAAAATGTGTCATGCTATTAATTAATTAACTTTAATATTGGTAAGGTTCCAATTGTGTCGTGGTTACACTACGGGCTACATTCTAGGCCCTAGGGTCGACCTGGTTTTCCGTTACATCCCTCTCAATGCCTGTATACAATATAGGTAAGTACATACTACTTTATGGGTACAGTTTCTTAACTGGGCTATGCAAATATCGAATGAAACCATCGATTTGATTAGTAAACCTTCATTTATCAATATTATTGATTGACCCTAGTTTTGAATTGTACCTAGTAGTTTTGTCTGACATTGCTATAAATGATGATCTATCATATACGTGTGTCAAACGTTTGACCTCTACTTCAATTTATCAACGTCAAGGCTATACCTTGAAAGGTAACAGAAAAATAGACTTGACATACTGAGGACCAAAGTTCCAGTTAGGCTCCTTGTATATTCTGCCCATTCGGGTCGCCGGAATTTTATCCCCCTGGAATTTTACCCCCTGGCCAAAGCTGACGTCACTATGACGTAGTAACCTGAGTGGCCAAAAGTTTGTTCGCGGCCGGAATTTTACCCCCGCTGATTTGGAAGTCTAATGAAAATAGTCAGAGCGTGATTAATTAGATTAGCGACAAAAACCGGAATTTTACCCCCTGTCCATATAACTAGCGTTTAGGCAACTGAAGATGTACGGGCCGGAATTTTACCCCCCGGAATTTTACCCCCCGGAATTTTACCCCCTGGCTGATTTTAGAAATTGAATGATTGATTTTCTTAACTTCTGTTTTTAATTAATTGTAAACATTTCATTATTTAGTAGCTTATCTTTATTTATTTATTTTGTAATCTCAACTGAGTAAACAGAATTCGCTGTTTTATTTTGATCATATTAACCAACAGTTGGCTTCAATGACACTCGAATCTCAAAATTAATATTAAAACCCTGTGCGATTAGTTAATGTTACATATAAATTAAGATAGGCTTCTTAATAATAAAATGTTTACCATTAACTTAAAACTGAATGACGATAATTAATCATTCACACTAATTTATATCTGGCCAGGGGTTAAAATTCCGGGGGGTAAAATTCCGGGGGTAAAATTCCGGGGGTAAAATTCCGGGGGGGTAAAATTCCGGGGGTAAAATTCCGGGGGGTAAAATTCCGGGCCGTACATTCTAGGTTTTTTAATTTGATGTGTTCTGATTAAACTCACAACCGTGAAAATATATGTTTAATTCCGCGTTTAATCCATCGAGCTGATGTCGCGAAACTCAAATGTTCGCGGCCGGAATTTTACCCCCTGGTTTGTGACGTCACGTTTGCCCAGGGGGTAAAATTCCAGGGGGATAAAAATCCGCTACCCCGCCCATTCTTCACACGGTGCTGCGACCGGAGGCGCTGCAAGTTTGAGTGGCGTCTGTGGCAGTGGTAGGGTGTCAGGCTTCCAACTTAAAGAAATTATAGTCACTACTAAAAGTTAATAGTATGAGTGTAGTGGTGGGAGAAAAGAATAGGCCCTACTAAGAATTTGAATACAGGTCTACTCGGAATCGAAATACTATGTTACTTCCTGGGAGATTTATATTATGACGCTAAAACTCTGACTGTTACTTAGTACGACAAAATAAATTAGCTCATTTAAATAATAGCAATAAAAAATATTGTCTATAGCCTAATAAAATAACTAGTGTCCAGACTTCCGTATCTGTTGGCACAAACAACCAAATGAAAATATTGATCGATATATCAAATGAAACAATCGAATAATCAATATTTTCATTCGGTTGTTTGTGCCAACAGATACGGAAGTCTACTCAATAATTATTTCAGAATTCAGAGTGTACATAAAATTGCCGCTGTGGCATGTCACAGAGTGAGCTTGTAAAACCAATGATAATCTTACTTCACCAAGCATGGGGTTTGGACCAAGATTGGTTTAATGGGTTTGGACCGCTTTCCATTGAAAGCATTTGACTTCAACTTCACAAAAAAAAGCTCCCATACAACAATTCTACAGCAATTTGAGCCCGCACATTTCTGCGGCTCAGGTACGCTGTCATGTATCTGGCCCGTCTCAACAGCGTTCTGTAGCAACCGCATGGTATAAAAGCTCTCAATGCACTTACAGAGCCACAGTTTGTAGAGGCAAGCCGTAGAGGATGAATGAGCCTTCAGTAGAGCACCTCTATTGTAAAATTTCAGATAATATTTTAGCATCGGCTTAGTTTTCACCTTTTTATCAGGATATGTAAGTTACTAGAGGCTGAGCAGAAAAAATCAACATACAAATGACAGGAATTAGCTTATCCAGCTTAAATTATTTCTAGCTATGTAAACATGCACTCTTTAACATTCATGGATGTTTGGATGGACGCGTTGCAGAAAGTCAACAGTCCCGGAAGATCAAATAATTTATACCTGTGCCGCTAGGTCAAAAACTACAATGTTTGCAGTGTCTGTAGATCAAAAATCCCAGAAAGTCAAATAGTACAGTCCAAGCTAAAAACGTGGTCTATGTTAAAGCAACTGACTTATTGGGAATTTGACCTAATGCAACAGCAGTTTTAATATAACGAAATAAGATAAAATGTAAGTTCAGTTTCGCTGAGTCAACAGTGCCGGAAGGTCAAAAGTATAATCTGTTAAAAACAACGATAGTCCTCTCGACGCATGACTTCAATAATTTCGTGTTTTGGTGTACTTAACGTTGTGCTAAAATTTTGAAAATTGGCATAGAGCTTCTTGGTTAGTCCTACTCGATGACTATTTTGTTGGAACTTTAAACTATTTACCGATCTAATTAATAAAAATTGATATGAGTATGGTGAAATAGTTTTAAATCGTGATTTCTAACATGAAAAAGTTAGCATGCGAGATTTTTTTTGTTTTTGGGTTAGAGAGGTTTTGTCTGTGGCAAAGTTGTAGCCAAAAGTGTGATGCGTAAAATATTTATTTTTTTAATTTTTTACAATCAGTGGTTCAATAGATAACTTGGGTTGAAGAGGACGGCAAATTTAGCATTTCGCAACGCATGGAAAGAACTACATCGTACGATGCGACTGCTGAGTGGACTTTTAATTTACAGTTCTAAGAACAAGAAAAAGATTAATATACAGATCACCAGTACATTCATATTATTTATAAAACATCATTCTGTATTACCAGCTTACATTTTTCACTTATAAGAATACATCATAAACAGGGTGTTAAAAATAAGCGGGGAGATACTTTACCTAGTAATTCCTTGGGTCAAAATAAACAGAAAATCAAGGACAACATTTTTTCCGAAATCGTTTCGTTAACCAGATATCCACCATTTTGTATTTTTTACATACAAATATTTATATTTGCACTTTTCCAACCGATGTTTATGAAACTTGGTATGTATGTTAAGGTAGGAGAGACCCATGTTATAAAAAAAGATTCATCTCGATTCACCCTAAAATTTCAAAATTTAACACTTAACTACAATATACAATATACTTTACTACACCACAATATTTACGTTTCACCATAAATCTTTAACAAAATAAAACGTTAACATTTTAAAAATCCAAAGTAAATAAATATAATCTTTCTTTTTTGAAAAATATATTTAAAAAAAGGCGATGGTAAAATAACGACAGGTGAGTTTCGATCTGGGTGTTTCAGGTTTGAATCTAGGAGGATTTAACATTAATTAGGTAACATTAATGTTTAATCCTCCTAGGTTTGAACTGATTGAGAGGAATACATGAAACCGAAGGGGGGAGGTAGCAACAAGTGCACTAGTATTTACTAGTGTCCAATTACAATTTGATGGATTTAACCAAAACCTTTTCTATTTCACTTATTTTCAGCTGTTAAATTTCAAACGATACGTTTTAGCGACATCATTATCGTTATTATCATCATCATCGTTTGAGTTTGGGTTTGCGGCAATGTATTTTTATGAATAAAACCTTTAATTTGATACCAAACTTGACCTCTGCTACTGTATGCACTATTAATTAACAGCTGTGTCTAAGGATTATGTCGGCCTTAGTCACAAACAGGACAACAAGATCGCTCCACTCATCCCACACTCATCTCCATTCATACTTGGCTTAAAATGCATACATTTGTATGGTCGTCATTTCAAAGCAACATGACTACATTATCAATGACAAACGTGGAAAACCTTATACGAGTGTGAGTAAGTCCGAAAACAGAGTAAGTCCGAAAACAACTCTAAAAAACAATAAGCAATAAATTGCAAGAACCGTTGCTTATATCATTGGGTATACACGTATGTACTGACGTGTATACTCAATGCTTATATCGAACGAATGTACATCGTGAGAATTTCCATTAGTTGTTCCATTTAGTTGTGTGTCCATTAGTATAATAGTTTAGTTGACTCTTTTAAAGTCAGAGGAAATTGTGACGGTTATTACCCTTGAAATAATGTTTGTGTAGTACTTTGCAATCCTACCAATGCTTATAGAATCATACGATTACAATTTTCTGGTTAGAATATGTCGCATAGAGTGGTGACTACTGTATCTTTTTGGGTTGCTTGTAAAACAGGATCAACAGAGATTTGTTGATTATTTATAATGCACTTTACATGCTCCATTTGATAGTTTATAATAATTTACTCGGAATCTATAAGACACCTTTGGCTTGTATTAAATACAATTATATTATCAACTATAGCTTGTAACCGCGCTTCGCAACGGAGAGGACACTAAAGCGAAAAATTTGATCTTGAACTCTGTTGTATGAAATAGTTACACATTCCCCGTTGTTTTCTGGAACATAACTCAATTGAAACTCTTAGTTTGAAAAAATATCTTTCTTTAAGGCTAGGCTAGTTAGAAAGATGTTTTTTTCTATAAGTTTATAAGGCTAGGAATGATATGAGGTGCTGATGGAAATAATATACCCTTATGATTCAATTTTCAAATGATAAGCTTACTTATTTATTTCGTTGAAAAACGTACATTTAAAGTAACTAAGGGAAAAATAATCGTACAACTTAAAGCACTGTAGTAAAGAAAAACCCCGTTTTTAATGATTTCATATATAATTGATATGTTTTACCGTAGCAACTGAGCTTTTTTCAAAGTTAAATCTTTACCTGCAGATCAGTGTGTATATATCACAATAACAAGAAAAGACAAACTAATGGAAAAC